GTGACTATCTATCACGGACACTTCTAGAGGGATTGCCTGTTCTTGGTGATCGTATTATGGCATTGAAGGTTAGTGACCACTATGTGATCATAATTATTTTGGTAATTAAATAAATTATGTTCGATCTCATTGACAAACATTTCATCCTTGGAGATATAGAGGAAGGAAGAGGATATGCTCGCACAAAAGAAAATGCCCGATGGGGAGATGGAGGAAATATCCCAGGTTAAGATTTCTTTGTCCAATTTGGAAAATGGTTGTGGTATTTTCTTCTAATGTTTTTTCTTTTGATGTCAGATGGTTTCTTAATGGAAATCTTTTGTTTGTTAATGCAACTTCTTTTTGCATGTTATTTTGAGTGCTTACAGAATGAATACAAACGAGGAATTAGTGGTTGGAATTTCAACCTTGAAGACGTGAAAGCTCAGGCTTCTTTGGTATGGTTACTTGTCTACTCAGTTAAGTCCCCAATTTTCATCTAGTTTTTCCCCAATTTCCTTATGATATAATACTTTCTACTGTCAGATCCCAGACGACGACATAGTTGCTGATAATTGTCGAAGTGGAAGCTCAAGTTCTTTGTCAGCACTTGATGGGCATGATAAACAATATGAATCGCAGGCCACGTCTGTCAGACAGATTGTCGAATCGGTACTAGTTACGGTATTATGTTTCGATTGTCTTATAATGTAGGATATATCAATTTGATGACATTGTTTCTAATTCTTCTGATTGGACAGGATGAAATTGACTTGGTACGACTTCGCCCTGTTCCTCTTCAAACAGTAAACTCATATGTTAACATTACAAAGTATTATCACCAACCTATATTCAATTAGTTCACCAACATTCCTTATACATCAGTCGTCCTTAGAGTTTACTCTATTGGTGTGAAGTGTTTCTGATGCAAGTTATGATTGATTTCCAGAATCAGTGGTGAGAAGTCTGATGATGAGTACAGCCTTCCAAGTCCATCTGGTTCAGTTTCACAACTCTGTTCTCCTCGTTTTGTTGACAACAATGCTACGGAAAGGCCCACTTTTGAGATAAATACAAAAATTCCCGAGAGCATGCCGATTTATTCCCAAAACAAATTGATAGGTCCCGGTAGCCTTAGCTTCAATTTCTGTGATCCTGTTGTTCCACAAAGCAAAGGGGACAGGTTGGAAAATCTTTAACTCAAAAGTTGTTGGAAATTCAAATTCGAAGCTTTATATGCACGTAGGTTGCTAGCAGCGAGTGAAGTCTCTGCTGATACCCTCTCTTTTTTACTTTAACTTTTGTGTCCAAAAGTGATAAATTGGTCGGCCAACTCCCAAGAATTCCATCATGCAATGGCTCAACAGTGGCGTTCGATGGTGAAGTCAAATTACCAGGTAGGTTTTCAAGTTCTTTTGGTTGCTAGATTTTGCTATATTATATGCACTGACTCATCATCTCCATGTAATCAATCTCCTCTCTAGGGAAGTGAAAATTTGTCTTGACTACTCTTTCCACTTCACGATGCAGGCACTAGTGAAGAATCAGACGAGAAAACGAAGCCACCAGTTGTTCAACAAAAAGGACGTTTCAAAGTTACGTCAGAGAATGTAGATATAGAAAAGGTGGGTACTTAGGTTTTTGTTTTATCCTGTCACTTCAATCCAAATGGTGTGTAACTCTTCTTCATTACAGGCAGCACCATCCCCGTTGCTGCAGAAAAGCCACAGCATGCAGGTTCGTCATTTTACAAATAAAGTATATGCATGAATAACTTCATTTCAGCTTGTATTTTCTTTATCTTGAATGCAATAACTTCTCAGCTTGTGAGATTGGTAGAGTTAAAACAAGGGTTTATGCAGTTGTCTTCCACGCTCCTCCTTCCCTTCCCATTCCTTAGCTACTCTAGTGTCACGTGTCTTTCACTTTCACTTTCAATTTCTTTCTTTGATTTAAAATTTCGGATTCTTCTGGAAGAGCCTTTTTGTGATTCTAAGGTTGCTCCACTGTGACCTACAGATAAGGGGTTCAGCTGGTGAAACTAGCCTTTCTGTGAAAACAAGCGCAAGGCTGTGCATACCTACCTATCTTCCCCATAACCTTGCGAATACACCCAGGAGGCCACCACTTTGTGAATTTTAGACTATATAAGACATACAACATGTCTCATCTTTCCCATTAACTCACTAGATGGAGTGTTTAAAGGATTGACTATAACCAGTTCAAAGTCTTGAGTGAGCCAAAATCTACTTTGGTCCCTTTTCTTCTAGCGAAAGGGGATTCCAGAGGGGGAGAGATTAATGATGAATAGTTCAAACTAGTTATGAGAGGAAGGATGGATGTGAGAACTTTAGGAAAAGATATGACTGCTAGAGTTTACATTCTGTTTTTTTAGGAGAATTGTTCAGAGATTTGAATTTCCTAGCTATATTTTTGCCTTAGCCCAAAGTGTTATTTATTTACGTAGGTGATCACTCCAGTTCCTGGGGTTCCTCTATCGCCAACGCCAGAAGGCACATCCTCAAGTCTTTCGGTTTACTCTGTATTTCCACTCTTACAGTCCGTTTTACAGGCGAACATCGCTCAAAGAGTACGTAACATATCATATCAAGTGTTGTTTCCAGCTCTTTCCATTTGCAAACCTAGTTCTTCTTCATGACCTGTTTCCCCCCGCAACAGGACACCATCCTTGGTATAATGAAGCAGTTGTCCAACTGTGAAACTACAGGTTCGAGCATCCTTCTTCTTTGTGTCCCATAGCCAGTTTCAAAACAGAACTTTTGAACTAAAGTCATGTGAACTTACCTTGCTCGTTTCGATTGGTCGTTAGCCCTTCGTGGCCCTGAGGGAGGATCGGCACTACAACTTGCTTCCATGGAGAAATCTTTGGTAATGCAATGCCATATGCCTTAGTGATTGTCATTCTTATACATATATCTAATTCCTGCAGTTGAAGAACTAACCTTTCTCCATTTGTTTTTGTTCTTTTGGCAATCCACTTCCAGATGGAAACAATGCATGAAAGGGAGAAAGAATTGGTTCTTGAAGTAACAGACCTAAGATGGAGGTACTGATCAACAAATTCGAGTCTTTGCCTTACTGCATTCATTAACTCTGAAAAAGAAACCATCAAACTTGCTGCAGGACTTACCATTTTTTGTGTGTTGTGGAAATGCAGGCTAACATGTGCCCAGGAAGAACTCCAGAAGTACAAAACAGAAAATGCCCAGGTAATTATTCTTTACTGGGTTTGATATTATCTTAGAGCTCAATCCACCTCTTTGGGTTTACTTGGCGCAGCCATGGACCATCTTAAAAGCTTACTCGACTTTTTTTCTGCAGATCTTAAGTAGCAGCAAAGTGGAAGCAGAACAAGTGCCACAACTACGGCATCTTGTCAATGGAATCAAAGAAGAAGCTACTATTAGTCATCAGGGAACGGATAACGCTAGCTCTAACGCAGCTCTGGTCGCCGCGGCAGCAAGAAAGCCTAATATATTGAGTAGAGTTGTGAGTATGAAGTAGAAGGGATTTTGACATTTTGTTGTGCATACCCGAATTGTAATTCTTTGGGTAGATGTTGTGAAGACAATAGTTGGAAGATGATTGGTATTTATCGGTTCAAAGAGCCCAATCTTTCTATTTTGTTTCTCCTTTTGGAAGGTGTAAATATAAATTTGACAGAAATGAGAGATGGGTTTAGTTACTTGTTTGCACCTTATTTTTGTACTACTGCCTTTTCATTTAGGTTGTAATTATCATCACAATTTATGAAATTTTAATTATACTTAATGGCCTCTTCTGTTACACCAATTGGTGCTAACACGAATAGGCGTTGGATTCCTTCCCATTGCCAGACTGGTTTTGATCTAATAAAAAAAATGATGATATGAAGCAAGCAACCAGGACATTAAACTACATCTTCATATTGGGGAAATGTGTTGGAGATAAAGAATACAGGTGACTTCTTGTCGACGAAATGAAGCGACAAAAAAGAACCAGCAATCTACGGTAAGACTTGTCAGACACTCAATGCAGCTCCTAGCCGTTTCAGTCTTTTCACGTTGAATTACAGGAAGAATGTCGTCAATGGCTGTCTGAAGTATAGACGACAACACAGGCTTGGAGATCGCCGTCCACCTTGAAGTGGGCATGGAAAAACATCTGCAACTGTTTGTTTGCAAATTTTTTAGTTAGCTCAAGCAGAAGAATAAACCGCAGGCAGCACACAGAGAAGAAAATGCAGATAACAAAACCCAAGTATAGAGGGAACTAGACGAAAGTAGAACTTAAATTGTCATTACCTCTCTAAAGGAATGTGAAACCAAGAAATCCCTCAATGGCTGGTCCTCTGATTTGAATCATGAATCTATCTGACTTTGTCTGGGATTCCTTTCTCTTCGCTACAACGAGAATACATAGTAGTAAGCATTTTAAGACTCGGATGGAAAACGAATTATGTGTGTTTCTAAGAAACTGAGACAAAAAGCTGATGAGGGCTTGCATTTTCATCCTCTTCCGTCCACTGGCATTTGCCGGCGAACACCACCTGTACTGCCAAGATTGCTGACGATGATTGGGACTGCCGGACTGGTAAAAACAGTAGGATGAGAATTTGGGAATCCGGCTGAATGGGTTGGGTTTGACATCCAGGTAAGCCCACTTCAATTTTTGGGCTCTTCCACTATTTGGGCTTTTGTTTCAATTGCTTGTTCCACCACCACCACCACTTCACGGTTGTTCTCCCCTAATTAAAGGAAAAGGAACGAACAATGGCCTCTCCCAATTACGAAGTTCAATCCAGAGTCTGCAAGTGGCTCTATCCCCCATTTAACACTCTCAAATACATCAATGGCGATCCGACATTGCCTCTCATTTCCCTCCATCCAAAAATGTTACTCCCATTCTTCTCCACAAACCCAATCTTCATCTCTCTACCTTATAAAAACCCCAACATTCATCACTTTCTCCATCACCATCATCCCTAACACACACATCAATCCATTTGAAAGAAAGAAAAAATGGCTACTTCCCTACGTCTAATTCTCTTTTCCTTCCTCTTCTTCGCGGCTGCCACATCTTGTTCGGCATTCAATGTAACTCAGGTGTTGGGCCCGTTGAAGCAGTTCAGCACCTTCTCCAACTACCTGGCTCAGGTCGGCGTCGTGGGAATGATGACCAACCTAAAAAACGTGACCATCCTCGCCGTCGACAATGCCAACATGGGCTCCATATCTGGCAAATCGCGAGAGGAAATCAAACGGGTGATGACGATGCACGTCATCCCCGAGTACTATGACTTGGACCGCCTCCGGAGCGCGCAAAATGGCACCGCATTGATCCGCACCATCTACGTGCTGACGGGGCTGGCCAGGGGCAAAGATGGAATGTTGTTGGTTACCAAGAGAGGGAAGGGCGGTCGCCTCTCCTTCGCCAGCGCGATTCTTCCCCGCTCCAAGCACACGGTCAACCTCCTCCGATCCGTCGTCGTTCCCTCGCGAAACGTGTCGATTTTCCACGTCAGCGGCGTGATTGTCACGCCTCCGCCTGTCGTCAGTGTCGCTAGCGAGGGAGCAGGCTCCGACGCCGCCGGCCGGATCGCGGTGTCGAGCAAGTGGATGGTGCGGCGGGAGTTCCCCAAGAAGCCGGCGGTGAACGGCGGGATCAAGACGGGGGATCTGAATCAGGTGTTCATGCCGAAGAATTTGAAAGAAGGCGGCGACGGCGAGGAGGAGGAACTCAAAACTTCGGAGAAGGCAGAATCGGAGGCACCAGCCAAGGCTCCGTCCAAATCCCCGTCCAAGGGCGCCTCGCCGAAGAAATCACCGGCGAAGGCTCCATCGCCGTCGAAATCCTCGAACTCCACCGCCGGGGGAAAGAAGGGGAAGTCACCGGCGACCTCCCCATCGTCGTCGTCGGACTCTCCTGCTCCAGCTCCATCAAAGAAGAAGAGCGACAGCCCGTCTCCGGCGTCGTCAAAGTCGCCCGCAAAGTCTCCCAAGGGGGCAAAATCGTCGGAAGCATCGCCATCACACACGTCCGACGATTCCCCGGCGCCTTCCAAGTCGGGTAAAGGCGACTCGTCGTCCGACTCTCCTGCTGGTGGAGCTTCTCCGTCGTCGTCCGACGACTCTCAATCAAACTCGTCCCCTCCTGCGCCGCCGGCGGGTTCGGATTCTCCGTCTGCGGATAGCCCATCGGACGATGCCGATGCGCCGGCAGCAGCACCTACCGGTGGTGCCGCTCAGATGAGCCTTACCAATGCCGGGATGGTGATGACGGTGATGGCTTTGTGGGCCCTGGCCGCGTAACCAGTACGACGTCGTGCTGACTATTTATTTATTTATTTAGGATAAAAAGATATTTAGAGGAAAAAACTAGAAAAGAGGTTTTAAAAAATAACAAAAGCTAGGACTTAATATTTATGTATTTGGGGGCTCGCCGGATTAACGGTGAGGGTGCATCACCTGCGACGGTGAGTGGGCATCGAATTTTCGTCACAAAGATGGTTTTGTTAGTGTTTAAATAAACGTTGGTTTTTATATGTTTTTGTTTCCTAATACTGTTGTTAAGTAAACAGTTGGACGGATGCAAAAAAAAAAGTACAATAACACTTTCCTCCCTTCATTTTTGCTGCATAATTACTTGTATCTTCTCCCTAATTTTCCCCCAAGTTAAACATGTGCGAGGGAATGGAATATACATACAGTTTTTGTTGTTTCTTTTATTATTTTTTTTATTATTCATGAATATTTGAGATCATGACTACACGAAGCATTCATTCTTCATAAATATTTTTCACATGTGAATTCAAAGCTCTCAAGCTTATAAGTAGAGGATCTCTCTCAGGTGGTTGTTTGAGATACATTTGAATCTAGGTAGTTTTTGTGGTCCTATTTTTGCAAGATGAAAGCATTAAAAAATTTAAATTTTCCTTCAAGTTTTTTTTTTACAAAAGATAACCATATATTGATTGAGAAAAAAGATGATTACATCCTGAGCCGCAACCAGACAATAAAATCAAACGAACGACACGCTATCGGGTACAAAAAGAGGGCCTTTCGAGCCACCGCATGGGCTACCCTATTATTTTCCCGACCTAAGAGTCGGACACTAAACCCCACATGCTCCGCCAAATATCTCAAGACCTCATGGAAAATGGCACCTGCCCGGCTATACTGTTCCTGAGCCTGGTTGAGTCTATCAATAACCATCTTTGCCTCTCCTTCGAATCTCACCATAGACAATCCTCGTTGTAAGCACCACAAGATTGCATCCCGGAGAACCAGCAGCTCCACGACCATATGATCATCTATCCCAGTGAAGACAACACCAGTTGCTAAAATAATCTCTCCTCCATGATCCAAGATTACCATCCCTCCCGCCGAGTGAGACCCTCGTCCCACCGCTCCATCCCACTTACAGATGATAAAATCAGGGCTGGCAGGCAATACACCAGCAGTCACAATACAAGCGGAACCCACCACCCTATCCGTAGGCAGATTAAGCCATTCATGCAACTGCTAAAGATACTGCCTCATCAGGACTGGAATCGTGAACTGTTTGCCTTCAAAGACAACCCAGTTGCGAGACTTCCAAATCCTCCATAGCACCGCTAGTCCGCTACTAAGGTCATAACTTGATGCGGATCCTGAATGACGGCCACCAATTTTTTGAGAAAATTGGGGAAAGTATGTCGCGGAAGGTCTGGGCCAAGGTGTTCCAACTCAGAATGGTCCCACATTGCTCTAGCCATCGGACACTCTAAAAAGACATGTTCCATAGTTTCAACCGTAGACCTACACACCGGACACCTATGATGCACCCGGACCTTCCTCTCAATAAGGGCTTCCGTGGTTGGTAGGAAACGATGTAAGATTTTCCATAAAAATATCTTCAGCTTAGGTGGAATCGAGGAATCCAAAATACGTACCCAGCTTTGATGATCCATCCAACTGAGGACTCCACCTCCCACGTTGCTTATCAACCAAGACCGCAAGATGATAAGCCGATTTAACAGTGAAAACTTCATCCCTAGTCACGTGCCAGATTTGTTTGTCCTCCACCTCCCGACGAGACAAAGGAATTGCCTCTATAGCTCGACAAGAGTATGGGTGGAGCCACTGGGAAAGTTTCTCACTCGACCAGCGTCTCTCGCTTTGACACATCAAATCTGCCACCTTGAGGTCCCCCTCTTCCGGAAGAACCCTAGGATTAAAAGATGGAGGGTCGGGATGTAAGGTCGGGACCCAACTATCATTAAGGGCTGACACCTGCATGCCATTCCCAACCTGCCAGAGAAGACCACGAACTAAAAGCTCGCATCCGTACAGGATGCTTTGTCAACCCCAAGATGGACGAGAATGCGCAGTAGCAGTGAGGAACTTGCCAGTAGTAAAATATTTCCCCTTATACACCTGAGCAAGAAGAGACTGGGGTTCATTAAGTATCCGCCAACCAATCTTAGCCAATAGCGCCTAGTTGAAATATTCAAATCTGCGGAACCCCATTCCTCCCTCATGCTTACTTCTACACATTTACCTCCAAGACATCCATCTAATTCGGGAATGCCCATCTTCCACTCCCCACCAAAAATGAACCACAAGTCTGTCCAAAATTCGGCAAAGGGAAAGAGGGAGTTTAAAACAGGACATTACATGCAACTGTAATGTTGAGGCAATTGATTTGATTAAGGTTTACTTAGCCGCTAATGACAAAGTCTTTTGGGCCCACCCTTGAAGTCTTTCCATCAAACGTTCCTCAACAAAGCGGAATGTAGCCATTTTTTATTGAGATATGAGGGTGGGTAACCCTAGGTACTTATCCTAGACTCCCACAGCTCCCACCCCCAACACTTGAGCAAGGAATTCCTGATCGAGGATTGAAATGTAATTTTCATCCAAGTCTCGCCATAAAATTGCTAAAAAACAATGTGATTTTTCCACTTGTGCGTGGTTTGACAAGATATATTTTATGCACAATAGTTAACGAGTTGAAGCTAAATTATAGAAATTTTAATTTTAAGGCAGGCTGTCTGTTTTGAAATTTGTGACTCATGGTTTCAACCGTGGCTTGGATGAGAACTTTGGAAAATCCAGATGACAAGACAGGTGTGGCAAGCGGTGGAATAGCGCATGAAGCATTGGGATAATATTTTTTTTTTTTTATGGTTATTGGGATAATATTGATGTTTATACCCTCCGAGATAATGTGTCACTAAATATTTAGAAGAGCATGAAGATCCATCAAAGATACATTAATGGTTAAATCCTCTAGGTTAGCATTGATGCATATATTCTTCAAGATAATTTCCTACATCCTGTTTGGCAAAAGATGGTGTACACCCCTAAAATAATATTGACGCTTACATCCTACTTGACAATGTACGTCATTCGTATTGAGGGAAGAATAATGAGAAGGAAAATAAGAAGTGCAAGATTAATGACTGTACAACCACGGGATAAATACCCAACATGTTTGGACCAAAAAGGAGGAAAAATTGTTAGGCGACTCACAAGTAAGTTGATTTATTACTATGGTTATTCTTACAAAATACAAGAAGTAAGATGTAATTGTCGAGAAAGACATTGGAATGTCATTGATAATGGATCCAAAAGGTGGACATATTTAGGACCTACACCCAATTGAGAGATCCAACAAACATGGAAAAAGTCATACATCCAAAACTACATAATAGAAGAACAAAGCCCAATACAAATTACCTGAAAACCGCTAACAAATCCAAACCTATCTCCCAAAAGAAGAGGGTGTTGTCCAAGAGTTACCTACTTACCCACACCAAACATCCATAAGAAGTAGAGAGACGGACCACAATGGAAACACTAGAGAGGCTTTCTGACAGCAGCAAAGACCATCAAAGAGGAAAGAAAGCCAACTGAAACTTACATAAACAAACCCGAACGGCATATGCAACCAGACCGGTGTAAGCGTACAAGAAAATCAACTAGGACCCCCATATTAGTTGATGTTCGCCTTCAAGCTCCATTAAGTTGCTACTGCAGGAAGATCACAAAAGGATTTTCAAGACTTCTTCGAAACACCTAGTGCAACGATGAGTAAGGAGAAGGAACATAGATATGAAGTAAAAGGTGGATTGAGAAAACCTCAACCTCCTCTGTCACCAACATAGCATCTCAATGTGCACATCTAAAAGATTAACACGTGAGGAAAAAGAGGGAAATGCTCACCTTTGAAGAAAGAGGCAAGAGAAAGCTCCAATATGAAGCGGTAAATACACAAGAAAGTAGGGAAGAAAGGAAAACATGAGAAAAGGAAAATAAGGGGCTACCATTGACAATTCGAAGCACCGATTATAGCCCACAATAACTCAGGTTTGGAAACGTTTAATAAAGTGTTTGAAGGGAAGAAAAAGAAGCATACGAACTTTATCCTAAGAGGTAATTGTTGCTCATTTCGTTTCTACTAGGCACATAAAGGTTGGAGAGGAGTGACTAACCTTCTGTTCACGAATGAGGGAAAATAAAGGATTGAGAAATTTTTGGGGGGATTGGAGGGATGAAGAACTTTTTTCCTTGCTCATGAGTTTTGCTACAATAACAAGGGAGTGATATCGGTGAGAAAATCTACTCTTATTGTGTTTCTTTTCCCTACAAAATTAAACATTATTTTTCCCTCATAATTTCACTATCCTTAAATATCCACTCCCTCTAAATTTACCTTCCTCTCCCAAGTTTCTCCCCCTCTTTCATGAACAGAGGGCAAATGTTTTGAACTTTGCAGTATTCAATGAATGTTGCTCTGTAAATTGATTAATGTTTAAATGTGTGCATTTGAAGATTATGATGTTTGGTAATGGTGGCTGTCATTTGGGAATGAAATGAGAAATTTATATTTTGAAGAAACAATATATTTACCCTTCCTTTATACAAACTTTATAAAATACGCTTTAAATATTATTCAAACTTTATACAACTTTCTTTCTTTTAAATAAAATTATAACACACACCTATACACAAATAGAAACGTACAAACTGCAAGTTATCGCTAGTCAATACAACCATTAAAGACGGCTAATCGACATAAATTGATTGTATCATCAATCGTATCATTCCACTTTCCAAACGAGTTTAGACCAACCTGAAATAATGATGTAAACTGGCTTGACAACGTTGCATCAGAACACATATTCCACTGAATATGCCAAAAGACTCGCCAAGTATTGTTATTTAGGCCATCAGTTAACCGAAGTTTGGGCAATGATACTATACATACCCTAATCTCTTATGGGTGAATCCCAGTCTCCAATAACATAAACCATAAGATTCATTTAATCGTAAAATGAAAATCAACGATTCTGATACTTTGAAATTATCAAAGTATAAATAATAGATATGAACACAGGGGGTGGAAATCAGTATGATATCGGTATCCCAATACAAATACCGAATATCGAATTATACCCTAAAATCAATTCCAATCCCTAAATCGCTAAATAATTTCGGTATCCCAATCGATACTTATGCATCCAATCGGAATTTAAGAATACAAAATTAATTACCTTTGTAATTAATAATTAAACATATAAATTAGATTTGATTGTTGAATTTTGGGCAAAGAGACTAAGTAAAGAGTCTTGAGTTTACCTAGAGCTAGGATATGGATAACGAGAATGAATGAGGAGAGATGACATCTCAAACTCTTGTCATTAGTAATCTTTAATTTGATGAATTGGAGATTGAGAGACGACTAATACTAGTGTTTGCTTTTTGGTAGAGATGGCAATTTCGACCTGACCCGTTTTACCCGACCTGTTTGACCTGTTTTGGGGCAGGTCCGACCCGCCCCGTAGGCGGGCGGGGCGGGCATGGGTAGTCTCATCGACCCGACCTGCCCTGACCCGCCCCATTCTCGACCCGTTCTTGTCTAAATTACATGAAATCTTAGTCAAATTACTTTGAATTTTCATTTTATTGCATCATATTTTAGCTATAATAAAGTTGTAAATTAGTGAAAACCTCAATTTCTCCAATAATTTAACTACAATTGACATAATGTTGTTTGTTTTCTTAGTTTTATAATAAAAATAACGAATATTTCTAATGTTTTTCATATAAATTGCATACCCATTGGGTCGACCTGCCCCGACCCGCGACCCGTGATCAACTACCCGACCTGGACCCGCCCTGCTACGGGGCGGGTCTGGGTACCAAGAAACCCGCCCCGTACCTGCCCCATTGCCATTCCTTAGTTTTTGGTGTTATGAAAATAAAAAGAGATTAGGTGAGAGACGAGAGTGACTGAAATTGAAAAGTCAAAATTGAGTTGGATGTGGACTTCTAAGTTGTGAAAGAGTGAGAATTGAACAAAAGTTGTGTGCTATATTTCATTAATTTTTAATTTTCGGTGTTTCTTGGTATTATATACCGATCTCAATTTCATAATCCCGAAAACCGAATAGCACTCCGAAATGAATCTCAATTCCTATCCCTAAAAAATAAGTCGGTATTCGATAATATCATATAGTAATAAATTCGGTACGGTATTCGTATATCGCAATACCAGTACCAAACGACAGCGCATAGCGTACGTACGCTAGCATTTGCTCAAAAGAAAATATATATATATTGTCCAAAAATATTCTGTGAGGCCACTTTTTTTTTTTTTTTTTTTTTTATAGAATTCTGTGAGGCCGCTTGCTAGGCTTGAATATTCAATATTGCGGACACGAGACCGGAGGAAGCTGCGAGTTTCGAATTTCTCTCTGCATATCATAACGAAGAACGAATTCTTGTGGTCATCGATCGTCTTCTGGACGTTGAAATTCATATCACCCAAACAGCGACACCAATTTCTCCTCCTAAGATCGCCCCGGATAACTGTCCTGTCCCCATCCCTCTCAGATGCTTTAATCAGAAGAACAAGGACGGCGGGGAACAACCGGAGAAATGTCGTTCGAGGCCGGCGGAGGCAGGGAGAAGAAATTCGTGGAGTTCTGTAAGGGCGTTAATGGCCTCGATAAGGTCATCCTGCGCGAGGTCCGTGGCCATTCTGCTGAGGTAAATTTTTGTTTCCCTTCGCTTTCTCAGACAATTATCCTTTTCCGCCGATCCAGAACAATTTTTGAAGTGATCCTATGAAGCTAGTTTCAGCGATTCCATTGTCCTGTAACGATTCGTGATTTGAATGATGATGGCAATGGCCGCAATTCGTTTGTGTCGATTTCTGATCGGTGAAACATATGCTTGTGTTCGTTGTTTATTGTGAGCTCTTTGCATTTGTTATCCCCGTCTCAGTTTCGGTGATTTCTTCCCATTTCTCATTATCTTCTGCATCTCTTGTCCGCTCTCTTCCTCTCTATTGGATGATTCCTGCTGATAATATGCTGTTTACTGTAACATTGGGAAACCACTGATTACTCTGTTGATTGGACATTTACTTTGAGCGCATACATTGGAAGCTTGGAGAGTTGCGATGGAAGAACGTTTGGTTCTGTTTCTTCAATCCTTTCACTCAATTCTGTGAAGTTTAACAGATGAATGCCTGTGTTTTTCCCCCTCCCCATCTATGTACAGGTTTACTTGAATGGAGGTCAAGTTACATCTTGGAAGAATGAATATGGAGAAGAATTGCTTTTCCTCAGTAGCAAGGTACTCCTTCTGGCTTCCTTTGTATAGTTATGGAAGGTCTTACAACTCTGTTTAACTGACAATTAAAAACTGTTAAACTTGATCTGATGTATAATTTTGACAGCATAGTGGTACTCCTGTCTGTAAGCGAGGATTCTTTTAAACAATAGCATTGAATTTGATGGGCACACTCTTGATTTTCCTTCCTCAAGTTAAAAGGGTGGTGGTGTGTATGGTTTTCTAATTTACAGCACTGGCTATTAAAAGCTTCCTTAAGCTGAAAGTAATAAGATGAAATATTCTCCTTTTCTTCTGAAGCTCATTCACCTTCCTCCATCTCTCCGTAGAAACAAAATTGAACTAATATTCTTTTGAAAAAGCAGAAGGGAAAGAAGAAAAGAAGTCATCTTGGTTCTAGTTTAATTTTCCAATTGACAGGATAGTGGCGTCAGATGCGGCTGGGTCCATTTCTAGTAACACTGCAGCTCCTTGAAACCCATCTTGACTTGCAAACATTTCCAACTCTTAGGCACATGACACAAATCTGGTTCATGTGAGGCTCACTGAACATCCCTATGAATCCACAGCCCGAATTTTAACAAATGTTTTGAATTTTTTCCCCCAAAGCATTTATTCTATGCAGTTTGTAAATGTGTGACGCTGCATACTTTTCTAAATCAGTTTCCATTGCATGCCCTCAAATACTTATTCATGCTGGTTGTCTTGGCTTAATATGGTCACTACTTAAGCCAACAATACCACAATTGTATATCATCATTCCTGCTTCTTGCACATTATTACCTTTGTTCTAAATCATGATTTTTTTTTAATCTTTGAGCAGGCCGTTTTCAAACCTCCAACAGCAATAAGAGGAGGTATCCCAATTAGCTTTCCTCAAGTAGGTGCTTCTCTTTCCTCCTGAGGGTCTATTTCTCGAGTAACTTGTCTTCCAAATTTACCATGTTCAACACATGCAGTTTGGAATGCATGGTTCCCTTGAACAACATGGATTTGCAAGAAACACGGTGTGGACCATCGATAAAGATCCCCCTCCGTTTCCAACAGTTAGTTCCAATAAGGCCTTCATCGATTTAATGCTTAAACCATCTGAAGACGATCCAAAGAGCTGGCCTCACAGGTACATGCCATGTCACCTCCTGTTTTTTTTAGTCTTCTGCGATTTTAAGAGAGGCCATCACATCTGTGTTTCTGCCTTGGAGGAAAACCGTTTTTCATTCTAAGTTTTAAATCAGTTTGAGTCTGTAAAATTTCCTTAACATGCTCCATCTACTTTCAGATTTGAATTTCGGATAAGGATCGCTCTGGGACCTGGAGGAGATCTGATGTTGACATCCCGCATCCGGAATACAAATACTGATGGGAAACCTTTTACATTTACCTTCGCCTATAACAACTATTTCTATCTCACTGATATCAGGTTTTCTCATGACCTTCTTTAATCGTTGCTGTATCTGTGTATGGGACCATGGGTCCTCATTCCGTAGGCTTTGCTGCTTCTAGGTACATTCTGTTGCATGGAAAAGTTGTACTACTTTTCCTTAATGCTTAAATCAAACACGCAAAAAAGGAAAGTTCACATCAAATGGTATGCATGTCCATGCATGGTTCTCTAATGTACTATAACTTGTTGACAGAGTGCTTTTCTTAGAGTTCCGTGTGTCTTTGAATGTCAGCCTGGACTGATGGAGGTCCTCCTATATTTTGTTAGTTCGTTGAGTATTCCAACTACAAGTGACGAATCAATAAGTGTGAGTGACATGTCCCCCACTGTAGAATGTAGGTCAGAGTTACTTTAGTAATCTGAAGCGGATCCATACTTACATATAATCAGAAGCTTAATATTCCCAAGTCATATAAGTATATGTGGCTTCCTTGCTATGTTGTCCATGGTTATGCACGGTGCTATTTAATTGCTCTTTTTGGATAGCAAAGGGTGGCTGCTGCAAACTCTCTAACTATGACTTGGATTTGTGTGCAACATGAACTTAAATCGTGTGCAAGCTAGAAATCTTTGTGATACCAGCCTGTACATTCTATCTTTGTTCATTTCAGATAATAATCAGTCTCATTAAAATGTGAATTTTCACTTTTTTCATTTAAAGATAATTGTTTGCTATTTCTATCCTTAATGATCAAGATCACTCGTTGCTTTCATCTAGTGAAGTGCGGATAGAAGGATTAGAGACATTGGATTATCTGGATAACCTTAAGGACAGAGACCGAGTTACTGAACAAGGGGATGCCATAACATTTGAATCAGAAGTCTGTATCATAGTTTCCCGGGAGTACTACTTGTTATGTTTATCATTTCGTAGCTCTCGGTGTTAATAGTCCTGTGATGACACGACTATTTTCTGATGTTAAAGGTTGATAAAGTATATCTGAAGACTCCTACTAAGATAGCTATTTTGGATCATGAGAGAAAGAGAACATATGTATTGCGGAAAGATGGACTTCCAGATGCCGGTGAGTGATCATCATTAATTTTGATGGCATTTTCTTATTATGCAAACCTACATAGCTATTTTAGTAGAATCATAGTCTCTTTTATGCTGATTCGTAAGAAGTTAAAGAAACTGGGAGGTTTGATCTTCTCAAAATTGAGTCGTCACTGCTAACAGTTGGAGAATTTGAACTGGATCATCCATGATCATACTGTGACTGGGTTTTGCAGTTGTTTGGAATCCATGGGACAAAAGAGCAAAGGCGATCGTTGATTTAGGCGACGAGGAGTATAAACATATGCTGATGGTAGGAGCTGCTTGTGTGGAGAAACCAATAACACTGAAACCCGGGGAAGAATGGAAAGGCAGACAGGAGCTTTCAGCTGTTCCCTCTAGTTACTGTAGCGGGCAACTTGATCCACACAAGGCTCTTCGTTTAGGCTAGGAAAATTCAGCATTCTCGAACCCATTTCCTCTACATACAGGTAAAATCCTCGATCTTATTTTGCACTTTTGCTCAGAACAGAGTAAATATTTTACTGCTGAGCCGTGGTTTCTGAATATTGTAAGAACAAATTGGTTCAGGGGAAGGAACCCAGTTGGAGGAAACTGCCAAGTTGGTGCAGAAGCTTTGGTTTTGCCAAGACTTTGTGGAGGCAAGGTTGAAAGAGTGCAGTTTAGAGTATGTTGCGTACAGACTACAGAGATTGACTACTCGGTTGAGTAGAATTGTAAACAAACCTTACTCTGTCACTTCTCCCAGTAGCACAGTAGAAAATGATGAGCGTTGATTCTTATTTACCCCTTTTTTTTTTTGGTTACTTCTGTGATGGATGGATGGAAGGAAGGAGTAATACATCCTTCACCAAATCATTCCAAATTGTCAGAGACACAAACATCCATTTATTTTTTAAATAGATTTTATCTTTCATCGAAGCAAAAGACCAAGTTATGGTATTTACAGAAGGAGGCCGCAGCAGGGTTGTATTCTGCGCAGACATTGACAAGTGATGGTAGTAAAACAGCACTGTACCATGCGCGGTTGCATTGACGGCTGCCTGGAGAGGGATTGATTACTGACTATGTGAACTCAGGCTATATCAGCCACGAGAGGCGAAGTGAAGCCGCTCGTCCTGCGATTACGACGAGCATTCGACCACACGAAGCTTCGCCAGAACGGTCGATGCTGCTTCAGGAGATTGCCATTGCTGCTGCTGCGGCCGCCGTTGATGATCTCAAGTTGGGAGCGCCGCAGCATTTCCCACATGACTTGGACGTCCTCATACCCGCAAGTCTGGACGTCGTTGTGAAGCATCAGAATCCCGCCACCTGTTACAAAACGGAAAACCCACACCCACCCCCGCCGTTAGTCCGTTAACTCCGTTTTCCATCTTTTTTTGGTTGAAGTTGATCACATAATAATTTGAATAAACAAATAATAAATCATGTGTAATATCTAGCTAGTAGCTAGTGACTGAGGTGCTTCCAAGTTCCAAGTGGTCACGATTTCTGATTAGTTAAATAATAAACTCTCATTTCGTAGACGACAAATGCGTTATTATTAATATATATGATATTATTTATGGCTCCGCGTCGGTAGGCTTTTGGCTTGGACGGAGACGGTCCACTGAAGTTTCTGATTCTATTTACCAGAAGTGGAATTAAAGATCGTTAAACGGTAAGGAGGATCTCGAACTCCTACAGCCATTTGATCAAGAATGCTCCTCAAGGGGAAATAAACAACATAATTATGATGCTTCCTTCCTCTTTTTTATTTTTATTTACCACTTGCTGACAAACTCATATGGCCAAATCAAGATTTTTTTTTATAACTAATGATTAAAGGAAGGGGCAAACAAATAAGATCATGGGTAATCAAAATCTTACAAATTGTTTGAAATTCAGAAAGAAAGTGGCCAACTTTCGGCGTGTAGATGTATATACCAAAGGAATATTTCGTACAATTTTCTTTATGCAGAATGGAAAAATTAAAATTGGAAGGAGTTTACACAGTCGAATTAGTATTTTTGGAGGAATTTATTATTATATATTTAAATTACCAGCTAAACAATTCTCTCGTCGGCAAAAGTAATTAATAAAAAGAACTGCTTGCAGTTTGCAACTTCGAAATCGGGTTAATCGATTCTCCGATTTGCTTGATTTTCCCTAGTTTTACAATAATTGGCTTTATAAACGCTTTCCCGAAGAAAGGAATTTGTCGGAGTTAAAACGAAAGGAAAGAAAGAAGCCGACAACAAGAAGCAAAATCGGCGGGCGATGGGTCAAAACTGCAAGAACAGGGGAAGGGAGAAGTAGAGAAATAGTATTATTACCGTGTTTGCGGGACTTGACGCGAGCAGAAACGGCGACCCAAACGCGGCGGACGGGGAAGATCACTTTGTCCCACCAATCCATCAATCTATCCTTTACTCTTAATCCTTTCCTCTTGCCAGCGCCGGCGACGAAGTAGCACCACTTCCGCCTGAATCCGCCGTCGCCGTCCTCGCTGCTGCGGGGCGCTGCTTCTTAACCCCGGCACACCTCTTAGATTACTCCTCCTGCCGTATCACGCAGCAGCAGAAGAGAGAGAGAGAGAGAGAGGAGAGGTGGGCTTTTAGCGTTGGGCACAAGTAGTGTTATTATGGTGTGTGATTTTCCTACCTCCATTTTTATTCACTGATCTTTTCTATTCTTTTTAATTTCATTTTTGTTTTTAATTTAATTATGACCACCAATAAATTTTTTCTTGATAAAATAATGAAATATCAAGTAAGTGAAAGAGAGGGAGAGAGAAAATGATGGAGGGAGGGAAGCAATGTTGTCAGAACCGAACCGGAGTATGATCTGGTAATGCGAACGACTCGTACTTTAGTGGTCCAACCGACATTAGACCGTTTAGAAACCGTTAGATAACCGGTACCTAATAAACGTTATCAGTATAAATAGTGGACATTTCTTAATCAGAGCTCGTATATTTTCTTCGAAATTGTGAAATGGAAATAAGGATTCAGTTTGAGAGCCGGACGTTTTTTTGTTTATTTCAATTTTCTGCAATTTTTTAAATTAAATTTAACGCCTGAATGGCAAAAACCGGACGAGCGGCTCGAGCAATTAACCGCCTCGGCCGCTCGTCAACCGCTATATGAAACCGGAGCGACTTTTAAACTATTCAGAGCCAATTTTGCGACCGAGTGGCGGTTTTAACAATCCGATCGAGCGGCTCGGCTCGACTTTAATAACCCTGGAGGGAAGGCCATGGTCCGTTACACTGTCGTTAGCGTTATGATAAACATGAATATTACAAATAATTAATTAATTAATAAATGGGAATCACGGGGGAGCACCGACACGTCACTCCACATTTTTCGCGGGTTTTAAACCGTCCAGTCAACTTCTCACAGGGCGGGCCTGCTTTTCTAGCCGCCCACCGCTCTTCCTTTCCGTTTCTTTTGTCCTTTGCCTTCAAAGTTAAAACCGATTCTTTTGCAGGTATAACTTGTGTGATTGTGAGTGAGTGAGTGGTCAATCGCTAACCTTGTTAAACTATGGGTAGTTCTTTGAAATTTACCCTTGTAATTATATTAGTCTCTTATAGTTAAGGTTTTATGTGTCCCTTGCCCTTCCTCGCGTAACTCCTATCCTGGTTGGGTTTAGCAACCAAGGACCAGATTAATTGAGGCTTGAACTATACCATATCGAGTTGAGTGGTCCAATTTCTTGATTCTAAGATGTCTTACACTACTCGACTGTGATTCTCAGAGTTTGGTTTGGTTTGGAAGACTGGAACGGGCAGCTGCACACCCCTGATTTTAGTCTAGTAGAACCTATACGTTCAAATCTCGTTGGAGTCTAACAACGTATGATCAATACGAGTGTTCAAAAAACACACTCATTTGGAGGAATCCACATCAGGGTGGTCGATATGAAAGGCTTCTGCCGTTGAATTAATTTGGTCCACTTTGTACTAATCGAGAATGTTACTACTCTTGTTTAAATGAAGTTTGGCGGACGTCAATCCCAACTACACATATATAGCTCCCCACAAATTAAAGGAAAGGGGCAACGAAAGCAAAGGTGGTATAAATTGCGTTGAGTTGAGCCATCCATTCCACACAGTGGCCATTATCTAAGTTGCTGTCGGTTCAAGTTCAAACTTTACTCTCACGAGTTGCTTTGACTAAAGAGCAAATGGAGGGGATCAGGTTCTCTTGTCTCCCAAGTAACTGTTGAGCCCTTCACCAGCTTTCATCAGTGGAAAAAGAAGAAAGAATGCACATTTTATAGCCTAAAGGTGTAAGAACCCACCACCATTTGTTTGATAGATTAAAGCTGGCTTAATTGCAAGTTTGGTCACCCGAATTGCTTAAAAATTTCACGTTTGCCACCCGAATTGATTTATTCCATTTATAGTCACTCGAATTAGTTGAACAGTCCAAGTTCGGTCACTCTCCGTTAACCTCCGTTAGACTCCGTTAATGACGACCGTTAAGTGATGACGTGGCTAACAGAAAGACACAGTCAGCACATTTAAACATTAAAAAACGACAACCCGACCCGCCAGCTCAGCCTTACCCGCCCAGTCAGCCATTCTTGCCCAACCCGCGAACCAACCCAATTAATTGACCCTAAACCCAAACCCGAGACCCAACCTACCCTGAAAAGTAAATGGCAGATGGATTAGGGCATTTCCCTTCCTCCATCTTCATCCTCTCATCCTCTCCGTCTCATGGACTTGATAGCATCCCACATTGCGTCGAACAAGCAATTCTTACCCTGAAGGTCGACCACGAGGTTCCAAGCGTAAGGGGAATGATCGCCGTCGAGCCGCAACCCGCTCCACCTGAAGAACTTGACGGTAGGGGCCAGGAAAGAGTAGGAGAGCTTGAGAACTTGCTCAACCTCGGCCTGGGTGACGCCGATGCCGGAGCCGTCGAGGACTTTCTCTATGGAAGGCGACGGGGTTGTGGCGATGATCCCGCATAGGAGTTCGAGTTTCGAGGGGAGATTCGGAACATTGGAGTACGAAGGAAAAGCCTGCCGCTGGATTGGGTGGTTAATCGCAGAAGACGACGACTGGTGGGGATTTAAGGATGGCGAGGGAACCGAATCATGCCGTTTCCCGACGGGAAGGTCGCCGTCGCGGTTGGCGCAACTGTTGTAGTGGCTTTCGCTCTCCCTACCCTCCGCCGCCATTTATTGGTGGCCGATTTGACGGATTTCGACTGCTCAATTCACGGGAGGACGAAGGAAGGAATGAGGGAACTGAATCAGACTCGAGAAATCGAACCCTAATCCATCTGCCATTTACTTTTCAGGGGGGTTGGGTCTCGGGTTTGGGTTTAGGGTCAATTAATTGGGTTGGTTCGCTGGTTGGGCAAGAATGGCTGACTGGGCGGGTAAGGCTGAGCTGGCGGGTCGGGTCGTCGTTTTTTAATGTTTAAATGTGCTGACTGTGTCTTTCTGTTAGCCACGTCATCACTTAACGGTCGTCATTAATGGAGTCTAACGGAGGTTAACGGAGAGTGACCGAACTTGGACTGTTCAACTAATTCGAGTGACTATAAATGGAATAAATCAATTCGGGTGGCAAACGTGAAATTTTTAAGCAATTCGGGTGACCAAACTTGCAATTAAGCCGATTAAAGCTTGTGTATCTTTGACCCTCACCCCCTAGCCTCTTGATGCTTTGCTTTCCTCTTGTGCGTAATATATTTCCTTTAATTTCTTTTTTGATGATGAGGGGGTTCTTGTATATATATTCCAATTAAAGTACTTATGTTGTGCATGTAGAACTTAGAAATAGGGTTAATACTCTTTAATTTTGACTGTGGTATAAATTTTTTGAGATGAACTTTGTGGCACGACCATAATTGTGTTTGGAAAACCATTGTGGTATTTTGTCAATACCATTATAGTAAAACCTCCATAAAAATAATTGAATGCTCGATAAGTTAATATTTTATCTGGTCCTGATTCAGGCCAATGTAAGAGATAAGTTAATATATTTTTTTTTTGTGGATCAATGTACATAAATATTTGTATTTTGAATTATAGCAATAAAATCGATTAAGAAATTACAATGTAACTAAGATAATCTAAAAATGTTAAGTTTATGGGGGTATTCAAAATAATTATTTTTTAATTTGGAAGATTATGGAAATACTAAGCACTCTAAAAGTTAGTTAAGTTTATCAAAATAATATCTCTCTCAAGGCTGGTTACAAACTTGGTTCTCTCCCTATGAGTTGTTTAGGCATTTCCTTGCTTCGAGGCAAGCTCTCTAGTCTCTATAAAGGCTTGTAGGCCTCTGATTGATAAGTTTTTTTTTTTTTTTTTTTTGCATTAAGGGAGGCCAAAGCCAAGAAGCAAGAAATTACAAGGAGGGAAGAGACAAAACTAAGAAGAGGGATTTGCCACAACTTGACGCTCAAAAGACACCCCCATAATATCCTCTTGTAAAATCCGAGCTAGCTCTCTAGGCGGGTCAGTCAGCTCATGCATACTGTAGGGATAGACGAGACTGTGCTTCGAGAGCCAGTCCGCGGCTCTATTCCCCTCTCGATATGTATGAACTATACTAACCAGCCAATTCTGAGCTAGTCTCCTTCGAATAGACGCCAAAAGAGCAGCATATGGGTGAACCGGATCGTGGCGATTACTAATGAGGAGCATCGCCAATCGAGAGTCCGTCTCAATCACAAGGTTGACACATCCAACTTTCCAAGAGAGGTTAAGGCCATGGTAGAAGGCCCAGAGCTCCGCCAGAGCAGCAGAAGCTTCCCCAATCTTTGCCACAAAGCCTGCTATCCACTGGCCCTGCTCATCACGAATCAGCCCACCTGCGCCAGCAATTCCGGGATTACCTGCCGACGCTCCATCAATGTTCAACTTCAACCATCCCTGCTGCGGAGCATTCCAGTGTATGCTAGCTGTTACTCGACTCCTCCCTAGCCCCCGGTCATCAGGTCTCAAGAGAGGAGAACACCACGCCTTATACCAGAGATCTGACTTCAGCTGAATAGAGTGCAACAGTGAAGGGGCAGTCAAGGCCTTTTGAGCTCCTTGGAAAGCCATAATGCACCTGTTTTTCCACAACAACCAAATGGTTATACTGAAAAAAGCACTCCGCGGCATTCCATTCGTCATAGCCTTGTCATTTAAAAAATTCTTTCTCAGCCAATCCTCCTGGCCGTTTGAGAAGAAGGCAGGCTGCTCGGCTGGGGGAATGCTCCTGTTCCAAACAAACATAGCCGGCGGGCAATCTCTCAGAAGATGCAGCGTCGTTTCCGGGCAGCTACTACACCGGGGACACATAGGCGACGGTGCACACTTCCTGGAAAAGAGAAGACTGTTAGTAGCAATCCTCTTCAACGCTACTAGCCAGCTAAAACATCTCACTCTCTCGGGCACTGGGTTACTCCAAATCTTCTCCCACAGCTTCTTGTCCTGATTCCCTTGCTCGGGCATAGAAATCTGAAAGGCCGACTTGGTGGTAAAGTGACCATTCGGGGAAGGAGCCCAGAAGAGAGTGTCTTGATCTGTGGAGACCCCATCAACCACTACTGCCGTGATCTTCTGTTGGACGTCAACGGGTAGCCACTGCGAGAATCGATTCACATCCCAATCACCATT